ACACACACACACACACACACACACACACACACACATAAATAAAAATAAAGAGGATGAGAAGATTTAAAAAAAAAAAAAAGAATCATCTGGGCATGGTGGTGCATGCCTGTCACTCCAACCCTCAGGAGGCTGAGGCGGGAGGATTGCCTGGAGTTTGAGGCCAGCCTGGGCTACATAGTGAGCTGAAGACAAGCCTGGATTATATAGCAAGACCTAGTTTTATCAAAACAAACCAAAGCAAAATAGAAAATAGAAAGGAAAGAAAACAAATGCATAATCAGAGGGCAAGGCGGCTCCAGAGAGGAACTTGAATTTATAGGAGTAGAGGGCAGAGTTCATCCACATTTGATCAGGAATTTGTAAAATCAGAGGCTGCATTCTGTAGTCCAGAGGAAACCGAGCTGCCGTCCTCGTGGTGTGGACGGTTCAGCTGAACAGAGACCTCCAGCGTGGCTGGGGATCGTTCAGTGAGAGGCCCCCCGCGAAGGCACCACGTGCGCAAGGGACAGGGGACGGAACATACCCGAGTGCCTTTTCAGGAACTGAGGTCAGGCTAACTTTTCCCCGGCCCTTCAGTCAGGCCGGCTCCGTGGGCTTGGAGACTGGGGGTCTGGGGATCCGTCACTGTCGGACTCATGCGGCTTTCATGTGCCGGCACCTCCGGAATAAACCCACTGTTGTTCTCTGGTTGGGGTGGCCTGGAAGAGGGACCTGGGGGGCGATCTGTTTTCTTAATCTTTCTGCCAGCCCCTTGCAAGGTCTTTCATATTTTGTAATAGTAACCCTTTATTTGCCGGAATTGGGCAGGATGTCTTTATTCAACAGGCAGGACACCCCATAGCCGCTCCTCAGCCACCCCCGCCCAGATGAAGGCCAGGGTGCTTCTGAGAGAGGGCGCCTGCAGAGGAGGCATGGCGCGGCTGACACAGGCCTGGGTCAGTTCCGGTGCCCCTCTGGCCGCCTTCCGGGCCCACTTGGGCCACAGACCTTGCTCCATGTCCTCAGAGCATGCCTCTAGACGGTGTCCAGCACACGTGGGTGGGCCCAGGGTGTGGCCCAAGAAGTTGTCCTGCAGGCGGGGGGCAGGTGGCAGGCAGTAGCCACAAGGACTCAGAACTCTTCAGAGACAAAATGGGCTGCCCCCAGAAGTGAGATTTTTGCCTAATTTCAAAAGCTGGCACAGGAGAGCATTTAGGAATAAGTTATCTCTTTGGGCCAGGGAGATGGCCCAGTGGAATAAGCACTTCCCTGACAAGCTCAAAGGCCTGAGTTCAATCCCTGGTTCTGCAAAAAAAAGGAATAAGTTATCTCCATTTGGATTTGGGCACTGGGGTGAAGACTGTCAGGCTTTCCCTCCCCTGTGTTTTGGCAAATGACTGTGTCCTGAAATGTAGGCTTTTCTCTCCTGCCCCTTTTCCTGCTTATCTTGGGAAACTGAGGTTTTTCTTTTTTTCCTAGATTCCTATCTCCTACCTCATGTTCTCTCTTATTTGTTTATTTTCCATGGTGTTGGTTTTTTTTTGTGTGTGTGTGTGTGTGGGGGGGGTTACCAAGGATCAAACTCAAGACCTTGTGCTTGCCAGGCAGGTGCTTATGCCACCGAGCTATCTCCCCAGCCTGTTTATTTATTTTCAGTATAGATATTCAACCCGGAGCCTGGCATACATGCTAGGCAAACTTGACCACAGAACTGCAGCCAGCTCTTTTATAAATTTGCATTTTGACACAGGCTTGCCCAGGGTGGCCTCCAGCACGAGGCCTTCCTGCCTCAGTCTCCCAAGTAGCTGGGATTATAGCGTGCTCCAGCATGCCTGACTCTGCTCCTAGCTACGAGGACAAGGGCAACTGTCCCCTTGGCCTTGCTTGGTGGTCACATGGTTAAATTGCCCTGTTAACAGTTGGCACCAGCGTTACCATCTGAGGAGCATTTACCGTGTGGTCCACACTAAGGCCCTTTTCAGAAGGTCTGAGCAACTTCTTTCTTGGATACTGGGAAGTGAACCCAGGACACTGTGTGTGCTACCTGCTCAAATTCTCTTATCACTGAGCTACACTCCTATCCTTGTCCTCTGTCTGTCTGTCTGTCTGTCTGTCTGTCTGTCTGTCTGTCTCTCTGAGACAGGGTCTTCCTGTATACTTCAGGCTGGCCTTCAGCTCACTATGTAGCCCAGGATGGCTTCAAACTCATGGCGATCCTCCTGCCTCATCCTCCGGAGTGCTGGGATTACAGGTGCGCCGCACACCTGTCTCCAGCCACACATTGTTTTTAAACTAGAATTTGTCTGGGTATGGTGTCCAGGCTGAATTACAGAGGGAGACCCTGTCTCACAAACCAGAAGCTAAGGGCCAGCAGATAGCTCAGCAGGTTAAAGCACCTGCTTAGGCAGACGGGGGTTCGATCCCCAGCACGCTGCGCCTTGCCATGCTGTGCCGGCCCCACCCCCAGGACATGCTGATGATTGAGACTGGACACGATGGCACGTGCCTGTAATCCCAGCACTTGGGGGCTGAAAACAGGAGGATCATTGAGTCCAATCTGTGTAGTGAGACCCTGTAGCCCCTGTACTAAACACAGTAAATAAAATAATAAACCCCCCAGAAACTAAAACTAGAATTTTCTCAGCCCTGTGAGGTACTCTATTACTATTCCTGCTCTACTTGTGCATCTATCTACCTGAGGTGTTCGAGTGGAAGCCACGGCTTGGCACACGAGCCTCCCTCCCCGTTTGAATGATGAAACTGAGGTGCAGGTGGTCCTGGGAGGTTGCTGAGGTGTGGGTTGAGCTCAGGCCTGTCTGGCTGATTGCCCTGCGCATGGCCTCCCTTCCTGGCCAGAATCTGTTTGCTAGGGCTCTATTAATTGGTGTGTCAGGACATCTGTGTATGATGGGAATTGATGTTCACCCGGTGACACTGCGATTCTTCCTGTGCGGGGACTGGGATGGAGCGGTCCCCCGGGAGCACGTCCAATGGTGTGGCATGAATTTGCATGGGGAGAACAAACCCCAAAGCTCATCATTTCCAATTTAGAATAAAAATTGAGAAAGCGGAGCAGGATAGCACTTCGCGGCTGCTGGGCCTATGAAGATGAACCAGCTGTGGGGCTGGAAAACTTCTCAGCAAAACACTCAGCCTCTGCTAGCTCTTTTCCCCAAGCTTTGGCGTTTGGATTTTATGGTGCGGGAATTGGTTCCTTTGGGAGCTGGGAGTGAGCTGCTGGCTTAGGCTGCCCTCGACTGGAGAGCAGAGCCTGGCTCTGACGGTGGCCTCCGGGGCTTCCCAGGCCTGTGGCCACGGTGGCCCTAGGAACTTGTGAGGGGCCCCAGCAACATCTCAGGGAGCAGCTGCAGCGCCCAGGGTCTCCTGGGCTAGATCACAAGGGCTGTGGGCTGTGGCCAGCCAAGAAGTGATGGGGAGAGGGCCCAGGGTGCAGTCCCCTCCTCTGTGCCCATCTGGCTGCCTGCTTACGGACCTGCGTCTCCCTCGGGTCTTCTTCATAGAC